CACCTGTAACATCATTTCAAGAAGAAAATATAACTGAAAAAGATTAGGACAAGATTCAACAAGAAGAAACGAACAGGTTTTTTAACTTTTATATATCTTATACAATATTCTGTTTCAAGATGGGGACAATGCAATGTAGAGGCCAGAAATTAGACGAATTAGATGGAAAACTACAAAAAAGATGGAACATTCCCTACTGGAAAAGTTGTGTGATTAGATACATCTGCGTTACGGGCCAAAAGTTTAAATTACATGTAAAATTTAGAATAGAAAGTTTTTATTATTAGATTTTTATTATTATTATTTCTTTTATTAGAACTTAAGATTATTATAAATAGGATTGAAATACTATTTTCTTGATAAAAAATTTTTTTGTACATTTTTTCATATAATTTAAAATTGATTTTAATATAATTGTACAATTTCTATGAATTTCTTGTAAATTTTATTTCCGAAGAAGACTAAAATTTAAACAAAATAAAAGTACTTTAAAAAAAAACACATTTTTATAAATTTAAAATATTAAAAATTCTTAAAATTATTATGAGATATTAAAAATATTATATGTATATTAAATGTATGTAAGGGCCTGAGCACAATAGAGAAACAGGAATTAGATATTAAGATTTTAACCTATCAGAAACTGATTACATCGGAATACACGGTTTCTGATAGGTTGAAATCTTAATATCTAATTTTCGTTCCTTTGTCGTGCGCAGGCCCTAAAAATATTATATCAATGTAAAAATTTCTTTCAACAGGATTAAAAATTTCATTTATGCTTTAATATTTTTTCTTAATTTAAAAGTATATTTAACATTATATTTAGCACAGTCATAATTGTACGTATACATATATATTGTATGCATATTTGTAAATGTTCTTAAAATAAATTCTCTTACCATACAAAAATATTTTTATTATTGTACATAAATATATTTTGATTTTGATTTATTAATTTTATTAATATTTGTTTTTTCTAATTTTTTTTAGATTTATAGATTTAAGAAGTACATACTTATTATGTTTTTTATTTTAATGCAATATTTGAATAAATATATTGATTTTACATACTATTTGTCCCTTACTTCACTCTTAACATTTTTACTAAAAATGTATAAATGTATATATGTATGTAATAAATATATTTCCTTTTCAGTAAATAATATTTCTATAATTATATGTATATTTCTCTTTAGTATTTTCTCAATTTTATATTTCTTATTGATCAATACAGATTCTATATTGTGTGGTTAGCTACTTATTTATTTTCTAATTTAATTTATATATTAAATGTAATGACTAATATATATAAATAACAAGTTAAGAAAAGAGAAGAAATGATAAAAGAGCTATAATGTAAAATAGAAACTCAATGATATAAGGTTCTTTTGTAACTGAGCTAGTATTGTACTTAAAATGAAATAGATATATATTTGGAATTGGTGAAAGCATGATAGAACATTTTAGTGCAGTTCAGTGTAGCAACAAAGAGCAGGCTTATGATTGGTTACCTACTTAGCTCGCGCATGTGCAGTTCGATTTCATACACGCTATCATCAAAGGTGCCGACAGAGAGTTGCGTTACTGTATATACTGTGATACAGCGAAGCGAACGTTCTTCTGATCTTCACTATCCAACTAAATCGACGTCGACTGGTCGTCCTTACATCTTCACGTTAATTGGTAGCTGTTAGTAGCCTCGTCGCTGGAAAATGGCACTCTTGTCTTTACGTTTAGCCTCATTCTTGACCAGGCACTTGCCGAATACCACGGCTCAGGTAAATAGGAGGAATCTCTTCTCGTTAAACACATTCGCGGCCATCGAATGTTGGACGCCTGACAAAACGTGTCGACATTTTCTACTTTGTCAAAGTAGACCATTCCAAAATAGAGCCACCCTGTGCTCTGGTTTATCACACTTGCTTTTATATTCATATAGACTGTAGATAAAAAATAAAGCAAGCTGATGATTCATGAACCGTTTCATGAAGTATTTGTATGGTGCTAGTGATGATGATATACAGTGTATTATGTAAAGCGTGTTAGAACAGCAAGTTATGTAACAAGAATTTCGGTGGAACATTTAATTACTATTATACATATATATATGTGTAATATATATATACTTTTTGCACTTTAGATTAATTGGCCTGTGACTGCTATTGCTTCCCGCAAATATCATGTCTCGTGTAGTCGCCATTCAGCAGAAATTTCTGCTATCTTGGAAGAACGCATTCTTGGATCAGCACCAAAGGTAACATAATTTAAAAATAAATTGAATATTTAAATCATTCGATATGACATGATACATTTTTAAACATTTCATTTTTATTAATTTTAAATGTACATATATTCTTTTATAGTTTAAAGATATTAGTTTGAAAATATCTGAAGGAAGATGTACATTTTAGGCTAATCTTGAAGAGACCGGTAGGGTGCTCAGTATTGGAGATGGTATCGCACGTGTGTATGGGTTGAAGAACATTCAAGCCGATGAGATGGTAGAATTCAGCTCAGGTTTAAAGGGTATGGCATTGAATTTGGAACCTGACAACGTGGGTGTTGTCGTATTTGGTAATGACAGACACATTAAGGAGGGCGATATCGTCAAACGTACTGGTGCTATTGTCGACGTTCCTGTTGGTGAACAATTATTGGGTCGTGTCGTTGATGCCTTGGGTAATCCTATCGATGGCAAAGGACCTCTAAACAACAAATTAAGATTCCGTATTGGAACAAAAGCCCCAGGCATTATTCCTAGGTAATTTATAAATTTTTATTTTTATAATTGTTTGTAACAATTATAACTAATTATAATTTTTCTGTAATTATTTAATCTTTCCAAGAAAATCGATCGATATTCTTTTTTTTTAAATCAGATAAAATCAGAGATTTTATTATTTAGTATGTACATAACATTATATGCACTTTTTTTGGATAACAGAGTATCGGTCAGAGAACCTATGCAAACTGGAATTAAAGCTGTAGATTCTTTAGTGCCTATTGGTCGTGGTCAACGTGAATTGATCATTGGAGACAGACAAACTGGAAAAACTGCTCTTGCCATTGATACTATTATCAATCAAAAACGTTTCAATGACGGTGGAGAAGAGAAAAAGAAATTATACTGCATTTATGTCGCTATTGGCCAAAAGAGGTCTACTGTTGCGCAAATTGTAAAACGTTTAACAGACAGCAGTGCTATCAATTACACTATTATTGTATCTGCTACTGCCTCTGATGCAGCTCCTCTTCAGTACTTGGCTCCATACTCTGGATGTGCTATGGGAGAATTCTTTAGGTGTGTGGATATATTATTAAAAAATTTCTATTCTCTAAATGATACACCCAAATACTCAGTACTCCATTTGTATTATATTATCCGTTAGATTTTTATTTGAAGTGTCTTAATTAAAATTAGTATGATGTTATTAGTATGTTTGTGTATATATTATATATATATATATAATTTATTATTGTAAACTAACATAGGATTTATTATTTTACAGAGATAATGGAAAACATGCCTTAATCATTTACGACGATTTATCTAAGCAAGCCGTTGCCTATCGGCAAATGTCTTTGCTGCTTAGAAGACCACCAGGTCGTGAGGCCTATCCTGGTGATGTATTCTATCTTCATTCTCGTTTGCTTGAAAGAGCTGCCAAAATGAACGAAAATTTAGGTGGTGGGTCATTGACTGCTTTACCTGTTATCGAAACACAAGCCGGTGATGTGTCTGCTTACATCCCTACCAATGTCATTTCTATTACCGATGGTCAAATCTTTTTGGAAACCGAATTGTTTTACAAAGGTATTAGACCTGCTATCAACGTCGGTTTATCTGTATCACGTGTCGGATCTGCTGCTCAAACTAAGGCCATGAAACAAGTATTGTAAATTCTTTGATTTATGTAATTTTAACACCAAAAGAATTATATAATATTTATGTAAAATACAAATATCTATGATGTTTGATTGCATAGGTTGCCGGTTCTATGAAATTAGAATTGGCTCAGTATCGTGAGGTAGCGGCTTTCGCTCAGTTCGGTTCGGATTTGGATGCTGCAACTCAGCAATTGTTGAACCGCGGTGTGCGGTTAACGGAACTTCTCAAACAGGGACAATATGGTAAAATTGTCACATTTTAAATTTAACAATAATTATGATATGAATTAGTTGCATTTGACATGATTCTATTTTCAGTACCTATGGCTATTGAGGAACAAGTGGCAGTCATATATTGTGGCGTACGTGGTTACCTTGACAAAATGGACCCAACAAAGATCACTGGCTTTGAAAAAGAATTTCTTGCACACATCAGGTATATGTAAAATATAATTTATATAATATGTTTATGTAATATTTTTCTTAATATGTAGAAACTTTATATACTATTTTTCTTCAGATCTACTCAACAAGATCTTCTTGCTACCATCGCGAAAGAAAATGTAATTAGTGAAGCATCAGATACGAAACTGAAGAAAGTAGTCATAGATTTCCTCTCATCCTTCTCAGGATAGAACATGATCATTGAATGTAATTTTAACACGAGTCAACATAGATAATTGAAGAACATAAGATGTTCTTAAAGATTTTTCTGCTGCTGAGTGTTAATGACCGATATTATGCATCGCACTACAAATGTTGATAATTATGTACATCTGTACATTAAAAATATTGCAGCAATTCCATACAAGACCTGTAAACTCGATAGCCAGTACGGTATAGTGATATGAAAAAACAGATCTTTAATAAAAATTAAAACCTATAATGTTTTAGATATACATTCTTTCTTATATAAATATATCAATAAATAATATTGAGAAGTAATATAAACTTTAGACGATTTACAAATAAGATAGTATTAATATACAATTTTCAAAATACTTTCTTTGCTTTTAATTTTCCTAAAATACATTTTTTCATGTTTTGCATACAATTAAATTAATTAAAGTTAATTCTAATTCATACACATATACATACACTCATTACCATTCTTTTTCAATTCCTACAATTCTTGAAAATCCAAGATTTATATTGTACATTTTATATAAATCTCTTGCAATCTCAATCATAAGTACCTTTTCTTGTTTTCTTGTTACTGATTACTTAAAGTTGTTTGTATATTGCACAATTTAGTAATTATAAAAATTTATGACAATTTTTTCCCCAAATACCTACTCCTATAAAATTCTATATTATAGTTTTTATATAAATCCACAATCAATTTAACTGAGAAATCTTATTGACATTTTCTGCTCAACATCTGTACGTTCTAATGCCTTACAAAATTCTTCAAATGATATCATACTATCACCATTTTCATCAGCCTCGACTATAGTCCGTTCCGCAATGCTGGTTAGCTGTTCTTCACTGAAATAAATATGTTTATTGAATTACCAAATTTATATTAAATGTTTTGTTCAATTATAGAAATGTATATATAGTATATCAGAAAGTTATTGATGCGTTGATAATTGTAAAAAAAATTTTAATCTGTACCTAATATTTGCACCAACCATCATATGTAAAATAGCAAGTAGTTCATCTTTCGATATCAAATCGTCGTTATCCAAATCATACATTTTGAATGCAACTAAAAGAAATATTTAATAATAAATCCTTAATGAGCATCTTGATTATAAGACACCATTATCTATCATTTTATATTTAGCAATATTTACATTTTAACTTTTGCTGCCTAGAATTTAATCGATTGGGACTGTTCTTTTTGATAGGCCTAAAATGAGCCAAGACTTGCATAAACTGTAAGAAATTCACTCTGTCGTTTCCACTTTCTTCAAAGAAAGCGTTTACTATCCTTTCACCAAGAGGATTTATCGCCAATTCTGGGATTCTGAGAAAATCTTCTCGACTGAGTGTTCCACAATCTCCGCGATCCAGACTTGTAAAGCGGCTGTACAAACGTTCGATTTGATTTGGTGTAACTGTAATAGAGAGTGCCATGATTAAGAAATGATTTAAATAAATTTCGACACTATCGAAATAAATTAATTCGTATGGAATGAATAGACAAACGGATACTTGCAACCAGTAGCATTTTGTATTTGCGCTATTTCATCCTCGCGTAAAAGAAGGCTTGACTTGTTACCCATTTTTTATGATAACTGAAATTCAAGTTCAAGTTTATCAGGTAAAATATCAAATAGGTATTTAAAAGAATAATTTACATAGCAGATAGAAAAATGCAGGCGTGGCAAACTGAAACGCGCGTCGATCAATCATATGACTGTTGACTGCCCATAGTGTAAAAAAGTAATGCGGGGTCTACAATAGAAGTCGTAACAATCGTAGAGTCTTAAGTCGTAGAAAATTGATCAATCACAGTTGAATATGAGAAGAATAATTAACTGTGATTGGTCAATTTTCTATGACTTAAGACCTTACGACCGCTACGACTTCTATTGTAGACCCGGCATAAGAGGTTTGTCGCGTCACATACTCCAACACGTTCCAATATGCTCCTACCATAGCTCTTACTCACTCCAACGCGCTTGATAGAGTGAGTAGGAGCTATGGCAGGAGCATGTTGGAGCATGTTGGATCTTACGACGCGAAAAAAACCTAAGGGCGCGTTCACACCTTGGCGGAAAAGCAGAAAGCGGAAAAGCAGTGGCCAATCACAACTCGCGCTGGTAGTAAGTAGTACAAAAAGCCACCACTGACAAGATAGCAGACAAATTGAATATTTCTGATTTAGGGTGAAGTCCCATCAGGCATGTTTGCCGCGTATCGCGTAAGCGCATAACCAATCAATAATCAGTAAAACGCGAAACTATAACAGCAGATCGCTTCTGATTGGTTACGCGGTTATGCGATACGCGATAAATACACCTCATGGGACTCCACCCTTAGGGTGAAGTCCCATCAGGCATGTTTGCCGCGTATCGCGTAAGCGCATAACCAATCAATAATCAGTAAAACGCGAAACTATAACAGCAGATCGCTTCTGATTGGTTACGCTGTTATGCGATACGCGATAAATACACCTCATGGGACTCCACCCTTAGGGCTATTGTCACCAAGCTTCGATTAACTTAGTCGGCCTAGTAATTTTGCAGGCTTCCAACTTAAGCTGATGTCGGAGAATTAATTCAGCTCGCATTAATTCAGCTCGCATTAATTCTCCGACAGCTTAAGTTGGAAGCCTGCAAAGTTACAAGGACTGTGTTCCAAAATTGACTGCCAGTACTGAAAATCTATAGTGCATGTAACGTAAATTGTAGCATTTTCAGTGCTGGCAGTAAATTTGGAACACAGCATAGGTCGAAGCTTGGTGACAATGGCCCTTATTTATGTCTATTTAATTTAAAAATCGTTTGGGGAAATCTGGGAAAAGCATTTAAACATTTGGGAAATAGTATTTTTCTTGTAATTAACAAATTTTATCATGCGTCAAGTTAGCAGACAACGATTTTATTTAATGTATTTTATGAATGGAATCGATTAGAAATTATTTGGGGAAGACGTCTACATTATTATTTTCATTTAGGAAAAGTCACTATTTGGTAATTCAATAGATTTATACATTACGAAAACGAACAAAGCCCGGGTGTAGTATGGGTATAATAAGTGTAGTACAATGAATATGGTAAACTTAAAATCGTCAAAAATTAATCAATTAAGTCCGGATCTAATTATGCGTAGTAAGAAATTATGTGTAGTAAGAAATCAACTTAATCATAAACTTAATTATATTCGACTAAATTTCTTCACTTTCAACTGTGATTGGCCAATTCCTTATGGTTAAATATACTTTAAGAAGAAAAATTTTAATATTTATTCTTTATTTTTGTTATTTTTCAGTAAAGACGGACAGACGTTTTATGTACATATATGTATATCAAGAGATATTATGTACATACATACATCTAACAAATATTTAAGTATTTCTTCTAGACGTGAAAGTAATTTACGTTAATTTATAAAATATGTACGTTTATTCATATAATGATATTATACACACATGCATCTACACATATATTTCTGTAATTACTAAGATCGTATAATCTGCGATAAATAATTGAATTTGTTTTTAGACAAATTTTCTTCTTCATTGTATATTTTTATGTTCAAAGTTTATTACTCCGAAATCTGAATGCTTCAATGTTAGACTGCGTTCTCAAACTTCACTCGGATGGTACAATAAACGTAGAAAGCCTTAAGGAATTGACCAATCACAGTTGAAAGTGAAGAAAATTAGTCGAATATCATTAAGTTTATGATTAAATTGATTTCTTACTACACATAATTTCCTACTACGCATAATTAGATCCGGTCTTAATTGATTAATTTTTTACGATTTTAGGTTTACTATATTCATTATACTACACATATACGAGGGGCACTATTTATATTTTTTTTGAGATTTTGTCAGATTATGTGGGATCCAACGAGAACAAACCTTTTTCACGGCTAAATGATCATGCAATATTTTATATATGCTGGTGGAACTAATGCCTAAGGTTGTCTCAATCTCACAGTATGTCACATGACGATCTTGCATTATTAGTTATTGCACAGCATCAATGTTTTCTGAGACAACAACTGATTTTGGACGACCTTCACGACTTTCGTCGGTGAGCGAACGGTGACCACGATTAAATTCGTTATACCAGCGTTTCACAGTGGCAAAGGATGGGGCTTTATCGCCAAAAGTAGAAGTAAGTTGATCGATGCACTCCTGTCTTGATAATCCACGTTGAAAGTCGTAATAAATCATTGCACGAAAATTTTCACGAGTTAATTCCATTTTTTCGCTGAGACACAATTTACAAGTGACTGTAAACAATACAAATCGCACTCAAATAACAAAACGTTCTGAAGAAGGTTATGGTAAAAAATGTCAAACTTTCTAGTGGAAACGTCAGATGGCACCTGACAACACTCAGTGTTGCCAAGGTTCAAAATATAAGTAGTGCCCCTCGTACTACATCCATACTACACCCGGGCTTTGTTCGTTTTCGTAATGTATAAATCTATTGAATTACCAAATAGTGACTTTTCCCAAATGAAAATAATAATGAAGAAAATAATGTGAAGAATATTGAAAGTCGTGTTCTGATCGGTGCGATGATCAACGCGGATTACATTGAGCCCCGACGGTTTTTAGAAGACGCTGGCGATGTAGTACTCGAGCGAGTGCGAAACGCTGTAGAGAGACACGGTAGTGTGAAGATGAACACCGCGTTCAACGGTGAATTTGTGGCGAATGATAAACGCACTAATAAAAGTATAAACACTAAGAACAGTGAAATATATCGATGCACCGATTTGCGCAAGTGGTACGTGTCACGCGTCATCGAGCCCACGTTGGCGTCGCTCGAAGAGTTCCAGGAACGCGACAGCGGGTGGGCGTTATCGCGAATTCACAACTTGACTGTTAACGTGAACAAACTGTATCCCATGCGCGCGAGATGCCACATAGACGTGCCGCGGGAAATAGCGAAGAAACGAGCGATGATCAGTGTGCGTTCGACGGACAATACGTGCTTCGCGTGGTCGCCGCTTTATATCCAGCAGAAAGAAAAGTGGATCGTGAATCATCGTATCCACATTACACGTCGGTGTTGAACCTCGCGGGTATCGAGTTTCCGATGAATTTAAAAGACATTCCGAAATTCGAACGTTTGAACGTGATGTCGATCAATGTATACGGCATCGAGAATAAACAGGTCCTTCCTCTGCGGTTTACCAGCGACAAGAAGGAGAAACTCATAAATCTCCTGTACCTACAAGATCCACGCGACGACAGCCTCGGCCACTTTACGTGGATCAAGAATTTGTCTCGCCTCGTGAGCTCGCAACTTACCAAAAAGAAGAACAAGAAATTTTTCTGCGACCGGTAAGCGTGATAAAAAAAAAGTTGATCAAAAACATTAAAAAAGAAATAGTGGAAAAATAATTTTTATTTACAGGTGCCTTCATTACTTCAGCTCGAGCGCAAAGTTGGAGATCCACAGCAAAGACTGTGGTAAAATGAATGACTACGTCATCAGCTACCGAGCTAGGACGACAAATGGCTCGAATTCGGCAATCACTGCAGAAAAGAGCGCGTACTTTTCGTGATGTACGCCGACTTGGAATGCGTGCTGCGGAAGACGGAACCCGGCAGGGAAGACGCGTCATCGTACGCGTACCAGCAGCACAAAGTGTATAGTATCGGGTATTACGTGCGATGCTCGTACGACGACGCGTTATCGTCGTATCAGTTTCATCGCGATAAAGATTGTATTGCATGGTTCGCGCAACAACTCGAGGACTTGGCGCATCGCGTTAAAAATTTGGTATCCGCTAACGTGCTCATGGACGCGCTGTCTAAACAGCAATGGGAGGCATACCGTAGCGCGACACGGTGTCACATTTGTGAGAAGTCGTTCGCGCCGGACGACACTCGGGTCCGCGATCATTGCCATCTCACCGGATGATACCGCGGTCCAGCGCACGCAAATTGTAATTTGAATTATAAAGATTCTTTTTATATTCCTGTTGTGTTTCATAATTTATCGGGCTATGACGCACACTTTGTAATTAAAGAAATCGCTACCGCGTACGATGGGCAAGTAGATGTTCTACCGATAACTAAAGGAAAATATATTTTGTTCACTAAACATGTTCAAGATACCACAGAAAAAGAATCTCGAAATTGCGTCAAATTACGATTTATCGATTCGTATAGGTTTCTTAGTACAAGTCTAGAAAAATTGGCGTCGTATCTCGATAAAGATAAATTAAAAATAAACAATTTAGAAATTGTACATTCGGAATTTCCAACATTATCAGATGAAGAATTTGAATTACTCACACGAAAAGGCGTATTTCCGTACGAGTACGTTGACTGCGTTGAAAAATTGCAGGACACGCGCTTACCACCGCGCGAATCATTTTACAGTTCGTTGACAGGTGATACCGTATCCGAGAGCGATTACGCTCACGCTGTGAACGTATGGCAGCGATTCTCCATTCAAACGCTCGGCGAGTACAGCGATCTGTACTTGAAAACCGATGTCTTGTTATTGACCGACATTTTTGAAAATTTCCGCAATAGTTGTGTCGCGAGTTACGGTCTCGATCCCGCGCATTACTATACATTACC